ACCATCATTACCAGTAGGTGAGCCAAGATGCAAGGAGTTGGTCTTGTCTAACCCAAGTGATGTACTCCGGGTTCACTTGGATCTAAGTAGAGCCTTCTGTGATGAGTGTTTGTGAGAGTGGTGAACTTTCTTTGGAGATGAAGGCTTCAAGGTCGTAGCCTTTAATGGCTGTTGAGACTTTCCAGAGGAGGTAATTGGTGCCTGTGAGCTTGGTGGACACCAATTAATGATGAGGTTGGATTATATTTGTGTTTGGTAGGATCACATGAGTTTGGGTTGAAGAGGAATCTGCCATTTTTTTTTATATTTTATAGCTGCAGGTAATCAAATTGGTGTTTGGTAGAGGCTAAGAAAAAGACAATCGAAAAATCTGTAGGGCATTAAATGAATCAGGCTAAGGCTATGATCCTGAGCAAGAAGATTATTATATTCTTGATAATGAGTTGCGCATACAAGATGGCTATTTATAGCCTGAACATAACAGAAACCCTAAACTACTAGCAATGAGAAGGAGGCACGTGTACCGTGCCATGCTGTAATGCATGCAAGGACAATTGAGCCTTATCTGTAACAAATTCAAAAAATAAACTCAGTCTAACGTGAAACGGTCCTTGCACAGATTGTTGGTATTGCTATTGTGAGCATTATCTTTATCATTTTGGCATGCTAAAGAAATGATACCTGAATAATTTTTTTTGTCTAATATTATCATCATGTTATTAAATATAATTTTAATTCTTATATTAATGTTTTTCATATTTATATTAATGCTAGTGTCATTTTTATCTCTTAAAAAATATACTTTATTTATAATTAATAATTTTAAATTATTACAATCATCTTATGAAATAAATAACCAAATTATGAATTGATTACTATAAATTTGTCGTGAAAATATTATATAGGCATATATGATTGTATATAACTAATATGAGGGAATTCAACTAATTAATAAATATATAAACATAAAATAAAAAATAATAATAATAATTTATGGATATACATTGTTTGTGATTTATATATGCCTAAGAAAAATAGAAAAATAAATAAAATATTGTTTTATGTATTTATTTAATTTTTTTTTAAAATAAATTATTTAAAATATTTTTTTATCATTATTATAATATATATATATATGGGGCAGGGATCCAATAAGAAATAATAAGAAATAATATGGACCACTTGATCTACAATTCCAATGGCCAGGATGTAGCTGTCAGTTTTGGATTTGATGGTATTCTCGTAAATAGAGATGAATGTTGTGGTTATTTGTAGAAGTTTAAGGGTAATTTTGTATTTTAATAAAAAGCACTTCTCACACCTAACCCTTCATCTTCTCCCCCAACCCGTCACTCCCACACAGACATACACACAACCACCCTCCTGCCACTGCCCGTCGCCGCCCATCGCCGTCCGTCGCCGCCGTCTCAAACGTCTTCTCGCTCGCTATGTGTCTCTCTCTCACGTTCTCTGCATCTCGTCACCTCCGCCGATTGAACTCGCACAAGGTCACGAGCAGAGCCGCCATCGGCCACCTGCCCCGCCGCCGGCAAGACTATCGCCGCCACAAGCTCAGTCGGTCACGTTGACATCGCCGCCATCGGCCGCCACCGTCACGAACTGAGCCACCATCAGGAACCTACTCCGCCGCCTCCACGAGCCGAGCCACCATCAGCATAGATCCGGCCATCCTTGGATCAATCCGGCCGTATTCTTCTCTGCCGTGCAAAGTCGCGATCCTCGCCGACGACCGGAGGTGCAGCAGATGCTTGCGGCCACCGGGAGAGTCAATCTGATGTTTTCTACGGGACATTGTCGTCCGGCGGTGTGAAGGGTGGCGGCGGGCGGCGGGTGGAGGGCGACGAGCTGAGAGTGACGGGAATATGATGATGTTCATGTGGGGGAGGATTGAATATTGAAAATTAGACAAGTCCAAAGGACTTTGATGCAATTTTAGATTTTTTAATTTATTGTATTTTAATATGTGAGGCATTATTAAATGAGTTTAATAGGTGCACACTAATGATATAAAAAATGGACAATATTGTGCATTAAATTGCACATTAAAAATCATGTAACTTAATGAAATCACATAGATGCTGCTACTAATTGTTCGGATTGTTTATTTTGGTCATTTTGAATAATGTGCAACATATCTAACACTAATGTGCAGTGTTTCAGTCGCTATTGTGCTTCTGTACAAATCGAACTTTTGCCTAACAAAGTTAAAACCCGAACTAAAATACATGATTTATTCGGTCGGTTAACGAAATTACTATAATTATTATAAATAATAATTTTTATATAATAAATATTTATTTAACAATTGAATTATCTTATTTGATATTCTTGCATTAATTTTTATTGTAAATACATAATTTATGAAACACCAAAATTAACGTTGTGCATTGCCATATATAATAATGTGCCTTTGGTCTAGTATTATCGTGCAATCGATTGAGCGGGGGTATTTTTACGTGCGTCTCAATTTTAGAATAATTTAGTGATGTGTAATTTCAGTTAACATTACTGTGCACTTATTAATTTATTTATATATTAAAAATATATTAAGTATTTATATTTTTTATTTAGTATTTTATATTATTGCATGTAGAAATAAATAATATATATATGATATAAAAATTATAAATTTTTAATATATGTGAAAAAATGCACACTGATGTGATAATGTGCATTATTCTATGCATTGATGTGCATTTGGTTTAACACTGTTGTGCAATCCAACCATCTCTAATGTGCAGTGCAGTATTTTTTTTTTGTACCTAAATAATCAAATTTATTTTTTATTTATGTTATATTTATTATTTTTTATGAAATATTTTTATATTATTTTTTGATTTTAAAATACATAATATATATATATTTATAGATATATTTATATATAACAAATAATTTTGTATGTGTGTGGTATATTATTGTGTATTCTACACCCATGTATTTTTAATGTGCATAATATTGACAATTTTACTATATTAATTAAAAATTCATTTATTAGTTCTTACAAATTACAGTTTTGCCACCTGGACTAAAGTGAAAATAATCAAATTTTATAAAATTACAACCAAGTCCCTTAAAAGCATCAAATTTCTTATAACAAAACCCCTTTCAATTTTTGCAGGTCGTCTCTCTGGTAAGGTACCGCAGCCGCCGTCGACTACCCTTATAGGTCGCCGCGTGAACGGCCGTCCTTCAGTCGGCGTCCGACGCGGATCTCGCAGCCGTGAAATCGGCTAAGGGGAGATCCCTCCGCCACGCCCATGCCGGTCAATAGATGTGGACGAAATCATTAGCCTGCGTCTTGATCGCCGTCGATTTTGGGCTCCGGTGATCTCTGAATTCCGGCCGATAGAGTGCTATAGATATGGCGGCTGAAGCGGCGCCGGAGCAGTCTGCGGCCGGAGACGTTGGCGGCGGTGGTTGAAACGACGGAGCGCCGGCGTCTGGTTCTTGTGGGCGGCGATGGTGGCGCGACGGTGGGGTGGCGCGACGGTGGAGGTTGGAGGCGAGTCATCGATGGTGGTGCGACGGTGTGTGTAACTGTGTGTGCAGTCGTGTGTGTAGTGTGTGTAGCGTGTGTGTGAGAGAGAGATGGCAGGCGTGTGTGGTGTGTGTAGTGCGTGTGAGAGAGAGGTGGTTGGGGGATGATTTAATGGTAGTGGCCACGTGGCAGACCATTATTGGAGGTGTGTGAGTGGGTAATTGGCATGGTTCCAATACAATGTCTAAAATACCTTTAATGAATATATAAATGCTTATTTTTTATTACCGTTAGATCATGAGATCTGATGGCTATGATTTATTCTTATTTCTTTCATTGAGCACCATTCTCACCGGAGCGCACCCCTATATATATATATATATATATATATATATATATATTTTGTTTTCAATATCATTGTTGTTTTTAATCTTTGAAAACTTCAATCACAGATATAAGAACGAATTATCCGGCCATGTATAGAAATAAAAAATCCATTTAGATGTATTTTACGAATTCAAATGAAATAGTAATCCCTACCTTTAGATTATATTTGATTATGACTAAGTATATTTTTATGTCATTCCCTCAAACCCACGGTTTTGATATGGAGCCATCGGATGGCTCGGCTTATGGAGCCATCCATAGTTATCCACAAATGGTGTATTGACACGTGTCCTGTAATAAATGCACATTGGACACGTGTCAATACCTAACATTATGGATGGCTCCATAAGGGAACCATCCGATGGCTCCATAGCATTTCTGCTCAAACCCATTATATTATCGTAACTCCCTTCTTACGAAAAAAAAAAAAATGAAGAATAATTGAACGTTTGGAATATAACATGGCGCCCCAAAAACGTTTTGTTTATGCTTTTGTTGGTCATTAATCGCACTTACTGAAAGCTGCACCGTGCGAATCGTGGCAAATACTACTATTTATTCTTTTTCTTTATTTATATTACTATTTATTCTGATGACACTATCTTTATTCCATCACTTTACGTAATTTAATAATTAACTAGTAACGACATGCGCTCAAACCGTCCAATTGATAATTAATATTTTAGGTAAATTTGAATATATGCAATTGCTTTTTCTTGTCCGATGCAATTGGCCACCATTAATTATTTAATTTTTCTTATGGAATGTACGTTGATATTAATTATTAAAAAACATAATAAAGAAAAAAGAGGCATCAACGGCATTAGCACACTGCACATATTAATAAGGCTCTTAATATTTAATATTTAATTGACAATATTACGAAAAAAAAAAAAAATAGAAAACACTCTTGGAGTGTTTTAGCTACACACAACGGGTTTTGCCTAAAATAACCTCATGAGTCATGCCCCAAAATTCATCCATAATTTTCTAACTTTACCAGCTTTTAATTACTTAATAATTTACACAGCCACACAACATATCCAGAGGAGAGAGAGAGTGGATGGGTTCGCGGATACTTAATCATGCTTTACGGGATAATTATTGTGATTAATTACGTGATTAAGGAGTTGATTGAGTAAAGTCCGGGGTTATTAACGCTCGGTTGGTTCAAAAGCTGGCGCGTGAGCAGCACTTGGCGTACGTCCCACAGTCTCTGGCGGAGCACCGCCGCCTCCGACCGGAGGAACTCGTTCTCCGCGCAAAACATCTGTGTCTGATGCACCACCAGCCGCAGCCGGTTCATCAGTTCCCGGTTCACGACCTTATTCCGGTTCACTTGGTCCCTCAAGTCCTCCAGGTGTTTCTGCTTTCGCATACGTGACCGCCTGGCCGAGTCCCGGTTTGATATCATGCGCCTAAGTTTTTTGTCGTCTACGACGGGGTCTAAGGGACTGGTCTCGTCAGAACCGGGGCTTACTAATTTTTCAGAGTTTCTCCGGATCGGACCGGTTTTCGAGGTAAATGTCTTGACTCGAAACGGTTCGTTGGATCCGGGACTCGGGGCTAGGTTCGAGGTGTCTGAACCGGAACCGGAAGCGGAACTGGCCGGTTCCGGACAGGGCTGTGGGATGAGGACAGCCGGTTCGTCTACATTTGGTGGGTGAAAGGGGAGACCCGGTTCATGGTGCTCCCATGGAAGTGAACCGGGCTCGAAAGTGAGAAACGGGTTGCTGAAGAAGGAGTCGCCGGGAAAAGGCACCGGAAAAGTGGACAACATGGCCGGAAAAGTGTTTAGTTAGAGGGGGAGTGGAGAGTTGGGGAAAAGGGAAGAAGTGAAGGATAGGAGAGCGGTATTTAAGGGCAAAACTAGGGGCAGCTTCGTGTGGCCCACGCGAGGGCATTTAAGTCATTTTGCGTCGTTGAGCGGGCAGCTTTTGAGTCAGCGGGCACTAGTGGTGGTGGTGGGGCAGCGGTTGGCTTTTGAGTTTGGTGCCTATTGCTCACGTCAGCTTGCGGAGCCCAGTCAAGCTTAGTCATGAAGAAATATCCCAGGTCGGATTTTAGGGACACGTGTCGAGCTGTTGTTGACTTTCGGGGGTGCTTACGTGAGAGCTAGTCGGCTGAGGCACGGCGCCCAGCCGGCTTGGTGTGGAGAGTTTAATCAAATTAATCTGCACCATTCTTTTTAGCCATCGTTGGGGAAAAGAATAATACTGTTGGTAAAAGGAGCAGTGAAAAAGGAATTTGTACTGTAGCAAATGAAGTAATTTCTGTTAGTTACGTAATTGACCAACTTAATAAAATATAACAATGTGTGTGTGTAGGGGAAATTGTAAAGTGGGTAAATTAATGCAGCTATAAAATATTATGTTGGATGAATGTTGAAAATTATAAAAGTAGAAGGGACGTCAAAATTATTAAAGTATCTGTAGGTAAGTCCAAATTGGGTTTCCTATAATTTCTGAACAACTTCATGAAAGAGGATTTGGTTGTTCATTCTGTTGAGCCTATTTGTAGATAGTTAAAGTCGCCATGGACTTAGCCCTACTTATTGGATGTTAATTTCTGTAAGATGATAATAAATTATGTTCATTTATTGGTCGGGGATGTTTTGAGCATGATGAATTAATATGTAAAATGTGACATGAAAACTTTTGGTTATGTTTTGACAATAATTATAGTAATTATTTTTAAATACTTGGATAAAAGAACCGAACAATATCAAGTAAGTACTTCGACGTACTGTTTTTCTCTAGCTTGACTTTTACATTGGTCTAGGCTCCAAGGTAACTCTGGAATGGTGAATACTTAGTAGTACGGTTGGGGACACGTGTTTGTTCAAGAGTAGCTCGACAAGATTCATGGTTAACAAGTTTGAAATGTTCTTGAAGGGTTTATATATGACCAAATGACAACATCAACAAACTCTTATCAGTTTAGTTTGAACTTATAGTGCAAATGGCAAAAAAGGAACCAGACTAGGCCTTGTACTTCAGTAAGTTCAAGTATTAAAACTTCTCGGGCCATTGTTTTTACTTCCTTCAATCCTAGGTTTTATTGTGTATGTATATACACACACACGTATGTATCATTAAAAAGAATATTATTAAAAAATTCCAATAGAAATTTTTATAAATTATTCAAAATTTTAACTTTTCTTGAAAATATTCTTTGAGTAATTTCAAGCGAATGTCAATTCAAAAATCTTCTCTTAAATTAAATTTTCTACGAAATTATAATTAAAGTTATATAATTTTGACATGCGTCATATTTACACGAATTTCAAATGATAATATGATATTTTTGGTTGTATTTATCGTTGGATTGTGAACTGTTTTGTTTGATTTATTAATATATAATGGATGTAGTTTTCGCCGTTAATTTTTGCAAGAAATATTCCCTAAAAATCATTAAATAAAATATAGTCGAGATGAATAACTGTGAAGATGCGATGCACTCATGCACATGAAGCAATACAACTCGTGCGATGTGGTATATGAAACAACACGAGTCGCGTGGCGAGGTATAAATGGTATTTGCTTATGGGTTTTCACACAACTCGTGTGATATGTGACCATAGGCCACGCCGTATCACCCTGGACAGAGGGCAAGTTTTGAGAAAAAAGAGACGCACGACTCGTGTGATTACGACCCTTAAGTCACACAAGTCGTGTTACGAAGAATCTAATCTGATGGGTTTTAGGAATTTCATGCAATTTCTTCCCCTTTCAAACATTAAATCGACCTACATTATAAAAGGGACTTGAGGAACACAGTTTTAGAGACTTTTGACAATTTTGGAGGCCGAGAAAAAGCACAAGACCCATAAGGGATTCAAATGAGTCAAGATTGAAGACCGAAAGCTACACGCGACAATAATTCTTCCTTCGTTTTTATTTTTCTTCTTCATTGAACTTATGTATTAATTTATTTTGAGATTTGAGAATATGTTTAGTAGCTAAACGTATTTGGATTCTAAGTTTTCACGAGTACTCAAATTATTTTATGAATTAGTTTTATGTATTCATTCTAATTTACCTTTCAATTTTTAATAATTTCTTGTGTGAATATGTAGCCTTGTGTTTTAGTTTATTCTCTCCCGTTGGGAGTGTGTAATGTGTATTCTCCTGTTATGAGCTTTTGTTTATTCTCCTGTTGGGAATTATTTTAGTTATGTGTTGTGTTGTAAGTTGACTCTAGGTTGCTGCCAGATTGTACGTGTAGTCCTTCCTATCAGCTTCAGCTAATTCAGCCATTGATTGTTTTATTTCGCTAATTAGCTGTTCTCTAGTCGTGTTTTTATGTTGTGAATATATGTGATTCCTATCNAAAAGATAATTGATAGTTTTATTTGATATTTTTTTATTTAGTTTGATAAATAAAGTTAAATGTTATTTATAGGGATATATATCAGTGTTTTTGTATTTTATATATATAATATGGATATCGACTAGAAAATCGTTAAAAGATAATTAATTTGATATATCATATATTAATAATAAAATACAAACAAAAAAGTTATAAAATTTTAAAAATAAGAAGAAAAAACATTTATGATAATTGATGTATCAATTAATAAGAAAAAGAAATGTAGTATATGCTAATGTAGGAAAAAGAAATGTTAAATAGTTTATGGTAAACTCATTGTAGAAGAAAATAAGGAAGAGATCAATCATGGATTTAATATAAATAATATAGACATAGATATTAAATGAAATCCAAGACTAATTTTTTTTGTATAAAAAATTATTAATTTATATCCAAGCCTAACTTCGAACCATGATTTTTTGCCACATAGGAATCCGGAGCATGAGAACATGCCACTTATGGTCAACGCATTCAACAACTATATATAAGGGATGATATAAGGGTGATTATATTAATAATATTGAAAAGAGTTTGGTGTATAAAAAAAAAAATGGGTGTGTCAAAATCTAATAATTTCTATATCCAAGCACACTAAGCTATCACGCAGCTTTCATCAAGATTTATCACACAGCTGAAAACTTCTCGTAAATCGTACGATGATTCAAGTGCTGACATTTACCAGTTAAAATTAAATATGCTATTAGTTATTAATAATTAAATTAATTAATGGCTTAATTAAGTTTTGGTTAACGCTGGGACACAGTTACCTACTTGCCTTTCTTCAGAAATGAATGTGAAACCTACTTTATAGACTCCCATTTTATTGCCACTTTTATTTTTCTTCCCAAATTAACTCGTTCCAGCAACCTGATTCGAGTAAAAAGGAAAAAGGAACGAAAAATTGAAAACTTGCTATATTCGTAACTTTCTTTTCCGTGTCTACTTCAAGTTTGGCCGATTTCTTTAACCATTTTCTTGATTAGTCACAAATTTTTAATCTGGTAAGAATCTGTAGTAGGCCTAGAATAATCTTGCCAGGCCGCTCATCCTCATTAATTAAACTAAATTAAACAACAATTCTATAACTTTATGTTCTAATCTCAAATGGTTAGCACGAGGCCGACAAGCCAAAGAAAACTAAACACATGCACTCTATATATTTCGGTTTGTTTTTTTCTACTTTTTCCTGTTCATTATTATTATTATTATTATTATTATGTTTTCGTTTGCTTTATTTTTTTCTTTATAATAATCAACCGTTACTCCCAAGTGATGGGATTGGATTAAGGCCAAGATTTTGTCGTTAGGAAATGGTAAAAACTAAATTTAATTATGAACGATTAACCCGTCGTTATAACTGTAATAGTTCTTTTAGTTTTCCTAATAATGTTTGCCCTGTTGGCTAATAATAGATGATAATCAATCCACACTTATATGAAACAAAAGAAGAAAAATGATTTTATTGAAGAACAGATTGAAAGATTGAGAGAGGAGATGAAAAGAGAGAGAAGAGAGCTGCGTGTTTGTTTTAGAGAGAGAAAAATAAAAATGAACAACAACTACAATTAGGGTTTCTATTGGGCTATTTATACTAGCTACTTTAACTAAAAATGCTATATTGTAAATAGCACTTTTGTATAAGGAAAAACAACACTAATGTAAATATACAAAAATACTTTATTCTATCACCCCCCGCAAGTGGAGCATGGATGTTGGGCATGCTCAACTTGGATGTAAGTGTTTGAAACAGGGGACCAGGTAGGGCCTTGGTGAGAAAATCTGCAAGTTGATCTTTGGTGGAGACATGCTTGAGATGAATCAGACCTTGGCCTATCTTTTCCCTTATCAGATGGCAATCCAGCTCTATATGTTTGGTCCTCTCATGAAACACAGGGTTGGATGCCATTGTTAAGGCTGATTTGCTATCTGTGAACATAGAAACATGTAAAGTAAGAGAAATTTTAATTTCTGAACAGAGGGAGAGTAGCCACTGGATTTCACAAGTGGTCAGAGCTAAAGCTCTATACTCAGCCTCAGTTGAGGACCTACTTATGGTTGGTTGTTTCTTGGATTTCCAAGAAATTAAGGTGTCACCAAGAAAAACCATGTATCCTGTGACACTTCTTCTTGTATCAATACAAGAAGCCCAGTCACTGTCAGAATAGGCAGTTAAAGTTAATGTAGAGTTTCTAGGAAAGAGAATACCTTTGCCAATTGTACCTTTGACATACCTGATTACCCTGTTGGCAGCCTGAAGATGCATTTGAGATGGACTAGAAATGAATTGACTTAAACATTGTATAGAGTATGCAATATCAGGTCTACTAATGGTTAAATATAGTAATCTTCCCACCAATCTTCTATATTCAGATGGGTTTTCAAGTAAAGGAGATGCATCATTTTTTCTATGTTTATGAATTGAATCCATAGGTGTAATGGCAGGTTTGCTGCCAAGTAAGCCAGTATTAGAAATAATGTCTAATGCATATTTCCTTTGACACATATGGATTCCAGTTTCTGAATGAGCAAATTCTAAACCTAAAATGTACTTGAGTTGACCCAAGTCTTTGATGGTAAAACATGCATCCAAATGAGATTTGATGGCAGTTATTTGAGCAAGATCATTACCAGTAAGAATTATATCATCTACATAAACCAGTGAAAT